GTGTCTCTCGGTGGAATCAAAACTCTCTCCTTTTGGTTAGCAGCCAAGTGTGTTAACTCTTTACACTACCCTGGACTCCTCTAGTCTCCTGTCATTGTTAGTTGCTGTCGAGTCAGCTCTGACCCATGGTGACCCCATGTACAACAGACAAAACGTTGCCAGTCATGCACCATCTTCATGATCGTTGGTGTGCTCAAGTCCATGGTAGCAACCACTGTGTTTTGAGTGCCTTCAAGTCTAGGGGGCTCATCTTCCAGCACTATATTAGACAATGTTCTGTTGTGATCCATGTGGTTTTCATTAGCTGATTTTTGGAAGTAGACCACCAAGACTTTCTTCCTAGTTTGTCTTAGTCTGGAAGCTCTGCTGAAACCTGTCCACCATAAGTGACCATGCTGGTATTTGAAATACTGGTGGCATAGCTTCCAGCAGCATAGCAACACACACACTACCACAGTATGGCAAACTGATAGACAGGTGGTGGCCTCTAGTCTCCTACTGATGAATAAATTCCAGACCCTGATCACCACCTCGTCTCCCTCCTTGGCCACAGTCTGAGCCCCTGGCCCTGAGATCATGATAATTCCCCACCCTTGGCCCCTGTTGCCTTGACCTCTAACCAGAAAGGACCAGCTCATGGCTGTAGACCCACTTGAAGCAGATGTCCCACTGCCTGTGGATAGGGACCACCAACCGTCTCAACCCCATCATGCAGTATCAGATACTCACATGATTCCTCCACCCCCACTGTCCAGAGATCATGGAGGGTTGGTTCTGCTTCTCCCTGTGGGACAGTGAGGGAAGGCCTGTCTTCCCTGGAGGCAGGGGGACAGAGGGGATGACCTCTGGAGCATCCCTGATGGGGACAGAGGATATGGCACACAGCCTTGACAGTGGTTTCCAAGAAACTCCGTTTCCAGATGAAAGTGTCTTCAGCATCTCCTGGGACCAGAGATGCCCACTCTCATTCAAGGACTGGCCTAGGGCCACCTGGAAACCCAGAGCTGGTCCAGCCACCCCAGGGAGTGTGCCTGAAAGGCTCAGCCACAGCTTGCATGCCCTGGAGCCTGGGGGATGCTCTCAGACTTGG